CCTGACCACACAGTGTCAGATTCTGTAGCTTCACCCATGTTGTTTTTTAAGATTGCCATGTTAAAGTGCACTGTTACTAAAATGTTTCCTTCTCATTAAAGTAATACTGCAGGGAAAAGTTTTCATATATAAATGTAGGGGTTTGATAGATATCCACTCAGTTACATGCAAAAATATGTATATAATGGCAGGATATTTAAAACAAATTCATGGACATTTTCAAAAATACATATATGATTTCAGATGTTCTATTGCCTGTCTTCCTAAAATAGATGAGACTTCCACTTTGCATGCTTTCATTCACATATTAGTTCTTTAGAGATGCTTGCTTTACTTATTCTAAATTTGAAGCGTTTTATAATATCAGAGGGTTTTTTTTTTATATCAGAGTGTTTTACTTCAGTTATATTTTCTCCTCATAGCTCTCTTATTAGTTTAATTGATGTAGGTGGGTTTTTTTTTTTTTTTAGTTTATATGTAAGGATTGAGAAAAATGAGAAAATGAGGAAGTTTAGTGTGATTTGCCCAAAGCATCATCATCCTTTAATGCATAGAAGTAGCAAATTAGTTGTATCTTTTTTCAAACCATATAATTCTAATTCTGTCTTTCTAATGAGGCTTTCCTAATGAATTAATTAATGTAAAAGAAAAACTCTTTAATATTTTTTAAGCTAAGATTTAGTTTCTGGCTAAAATAAAAAGTAAAAAAAAATCAGCATCATTGAAATGGGGAACAGATATAAAGAAATTATTTAAAAAATACATATGGTGTGCCTGGGTGGCTCAGTGGGTTAAGCTTCTGCCTTCGGCTCAGGTCATGGTCCCAGGGTGAAGACTCTCTGCCTGCCTTTCTGCCTACTTGTGAACTCTATCAAATAAATAAATAAAATCTTAAAAAAAATAAAAATAAAATAAAAAATACATATAATACACACGTACATACATATAGAGTGATTGTGTTTGTTATATGTATAGAGACACAGACAAGAAGAGAAAAATTTAAGAGCTCAAATGAGATTTATGGGGAAAGGTAGTAGACTAACTTCTATGGGGAGTTCATTCAACAGATTTTATTTAATTTATATATATAGATTTTTAAGATTTATTTATTTATTTGACAGAGAGAGAGGAGAGAGAGAGAGAGATCACAAGTAGGCAAGCAGAGAGAGAGGGGGAAGCAGACTCCCCGCTGAGCAGAGAGCCCGATGTGGGGCTCGATCACAGGACACTGAGATCATGACCTGAGCTGAAGGCAGAGGCTTAACCCACTGAGCCACCCAGATGCCCCCATTCATCAGATTTTAGAAATACTCTGTGCCGGGCTTGGACCTGGAACCAAGATACTTGGATGAATAAGACACAGCCTACCATCAGATAGCCCATTGTCTAGTTGGGGGGATAAACTTATAGTTTTGCCACTTGTGGATGAAACCAATATTCCGTGCCGGTGTCGTATGTACCTATAGGGGAGGGGGTGCTGAAGCAGACTTCATGCAGGAGTTTAAGTGTGAGCTGGGTGTGTGGAAAGACAAGTAGGATGCGGTCAGGTGGGCATGGGTTTCGAAGGGGAGTGGGGGGTGGTGGAAGGAGGAAGCTACAGGAGTGCAAATGCTCAGAGGTGTGATAGAGGGTGGATAAGAGTGTTCTTACAGATACTTGTTTAAGGACTACAGAAGTCATGTGGATAGGAGCAAGCACCTCAAAGCCTGGTATGCACCAAAGGACGACAAAATGTTTTTATACAGACTTGACTGTAGGAGTGTGACGTAATGATAATTGTATAACAGCAGCTTTGAAGACAGATTGTTGGAAAAAGAAAAAAAAAAAAGAAGACAGATTGGTGGAAAAAGTACTGGATGTTTGAGATAGTGATGAGGAAGCCAGGATTCAGCTCAGAAAAGATGAGGAGGTGAATGGAGGCAGTGGCGGGGCCCAGAGGAAGGCTGATAACTTAGGTAGTGAGTATGATAAAGAGCACGGGTCTGGTTTGATGGGAGGAGATGAGGGAAAAGAGGCCTCGGAAGTTGTGATCTTGCCCAGAGGTGTGTGAAATGGAACATAAGGTGTGGAAAGGAAATGTCAGAACATGTAAGTACATTTTGTTTTTACCTACTTAAGTAAAGGGAAATGATAATATTTCAGTAATGTTCGTGCTTTGAATTGCTAATATAGGTATTTAGTTTAAAAATTATACTGCAGGCGGATGCCTAAGATAGTCTTCACTCATTCTAGTCTTATTCTTTTTGTTGGACCCCATGGAGCTTTTGAAATTATACTTGTAGATATTTATTCTGTTAAAATTAACTGTATTAAAAGCTGAGGAATTTGAAATATGTGGTTAGTAATTCATTTAAAGAGAATAACAAATCCAGTACATGATAACATAAATAATGTAATTATTATGAAAAAATACCCCTATTTTCTCAAAAGAAAGACAGAATTTAGTGAAAAGAGCTGCATTATTTTGTAGTTTTGCAAATCTCTTTTTAATGTTTGGCTTCTTAGAAGACTTCTGGATTCTCATATCGGCTCTATACATAATCTGTTGCAATCTGTTTTTTTGATTGAAGTGTATGAAGTAAATCTAGTCACATACAAAGATGTACGTAGAAAAGGGAGGATTTTTTAATAGCCTTTTCAGGTAATTATAGATATTCTTCTTTGGTACTATATCAAAACTTGATGAGGGATGGTTTTTCAACGTTAATTGTAATGTGGAACCTGGTACCACATCAACATACTTTTCATACTCTGTTATATTAAGCCCAATTATTTATTCTGCATTTTTCTTTTTCTTTTTTTCATTTCTTCAGTGATTCATCACTTACGCAACACCCAGTGCTCATCACAAGTGCCCTCCTTAATAATCACCCATTAGCCCATCCTGCACCCACATCCTTCCATCAACCCTCAGTTTTTTCTCCAGAGTTAAGAGTCTCTTATGGCTTGTTTTCCTCTCTGCATTTTTTCTTTTACCCCTTCCCATATGTTCATCTGTTTACTTTCTTGAATTCCACATATGAGAGGGATCATATGGTATTTGTCTTTCTCTGACTGACTTATTTCACTTAGCAGAATACTCTGTAGCTCCATCTACATCGTTGCAAATGACATGTTCTGCACTTTTTAAACAATTTTATTTTAGATTTTATTTATTTATGTGACAGACAGAGATCACAAGTAGGCTGAGAGGTAGGCAGAGAGAGAGAGAAGGGGAAGAAGGCTCCCCACCAAGCAGAGAGCCCCATTTGGGGCTCGATCTCAGAACTCTGGGATCATGACCTGAGCCGAAGGCAGAGGCTTTAACCCACTGAGCCACCCAGGTGCCCTATCATACTACCTTTTTGAAAAGTTTAAGGAGAAAGCATTTCAAATTTCTGCGACATTAAAAAAAAAAGTGAAATAAACTTAACTGAAACCCATGGCTGTGACATAATTTTTAAAAACGGCTTTTTTTGTTTCAGGCTAAAAGTTTAAAAGTTGCTGCTTCAACTTTTCTGACATTGACATTTAGCAATCAGAAATGTCTTTTTTTCCCCTTGTCTCTAATGCCTAACATTTGACAGAGCCCTAACAAGCAAATCACAGAAAAGTAAATTCATTCGCCCTCCCTAGGCTTTCTGACATATAGTTTCAGTTAAGGGTGATATTTTTTGGTTTTGAAATTGGTTGTCTGGAATCAGTTTTATTTCATATCGCAAAGTGTCCCATATACACGTAGTAACTGTGTAAATCAATCCAACTCATGTTTTAGTTGATATTTTTCCCCTTAAATCATATAAAAAGGGCACTTTGTTATAAAAAGTTTACTTAAAGTGTAATTGTTTTAGTTTATCTCATTTCTTTAAGAAGACTTTTTATGGAATCCCAGACGATCCTCAAGGTCTTAGATTGTTTAAAGTCTTAATTTCCTAAAACATAGAGTATATTTGCAAAGCCCATGTATTCTTTCTAATCATAGTTTAGGTACCAATTAAAAGTACTGAAAATGATCTAACTCATTAAATGGGCAATGGTTAAAATCCAGTTTTTAAACTATGGCTTATGTGTTTTTTATAGAATGATCCCCAAGAGCAGATAATGTTGTGGAAGAAAGGCAAAAAGTCATAAGTTAGAAGCCAGAGGAAAATTTTATGAAAGACAAACTGGGTTTATCAGGTGCTAAATAGGGAAGAAAAGATGAAGTTAATAAATAAAAGCCTTGGAGAAGATCTAGAGATAAGTATTGTCCTTTGATCTCAAGAAAGGGAAATTTGGTAAGGTATTTTCTTTTTAATTATAAAAGAATTTCAAATCTACAGAAAAGTAGAGAATCATATAGCAACTGTATGCTCCACTTAAATTTGACAGTTGTTAATATTTTATTTTATTTGCTTCCTTTTTTTTTTCAAAGATATCTTAAACTAAAGACATTTTACTCCTAAATAAGGTAGTTTGCATCTCTGAAAGGAAAAAACTCACACAACTGTGTTGGGATGATCTGAGAACCCCAGAGGACCTGCAGGGGGGCCTTTGTTTTGTAGACTGGGGTGTGCAAATTATAGCCCTCCTAAAATAGCTTGGACCAGTGAAGGGAAATTTCTTAAATTGTTTAGAGCTCTTTGAGGAGGAAGGGATGCTGAGCTCAGGGCGAGGACTTGGAAGAGAGATAGAAGGGGCATGTTGGATAAAATTTTATTATTTGGTAATGTAACCATTTTCTCTCTCTGCCCATAATGTCTTGATTTAAATTTGCATTATTCATTCATGCTTTAGCAATTGGACTTTTTATTTATTTTTTTAATTTGAACCCAACCTTACGATGGGTGTGGAGTGAGAACTGAGCCTACCCAAATATATTCATTAAGTGTAAAGGATCTGGGAGTCCATGCTCCGAAGAGTTTTAGCCAGTCACAAACAGAACAACCTACAGGACATACTTAATTACTCTTCTCGGTTTTTGTTTTTTCATTGAAGAACCGTAGTCCATCTGAATTTATGCAATGTCTTCTTATGTTTAGGACTCGGATGTGGATTATTATACACGGCAACAGTGACCATTACATGCCAGTATTTTGACAGCCATCGAGGCCTTGCCCTTGGCCTGATTTCAACAGGTACGTTTTCAAAATAAATATAGCATTATCACCATCCATCCTTCTAATCAAAGTCAAAAGTTACCAAACACAGATGTTTAACCAGCCCCTTCCCAGCTCCCCCTTAGGGAGCACCATTTTTTAACTCTAGTCCAAGAAGGAAATGTTATTTTCAACTGTAAATAAGTGTACAGCTTCCAGAAAATCCTAGGATACATATACAAAAATCTGGGGAACTTGATGACCAATATAATGAAGGAAAGAAAAGCTGATGGGCTTAGTCAACTGAGAGACACAAGCTGGTGAGAGCTTTACTCAGAGAAGCAGAGAGCACTTAGGTGAGGCCCCTTCTGTCTGAGAGGGGTAGGAGAATTGCCAGGAAAAGTGGAGACCCCCGGGCTCTGTCAGGAAGCCTGATGCCGCCATCTTGCCATCTCCACTTACTGCAGAGTGTACAGTTTTTTCAAGAGTTCTGATTAATGAGTGCATCTCCCTGGCCATGTGCATATCCTCAGGACAGGCTGTTGACTCTTGTTCTTTAATAATCAAGAGATAATCACTGGGGGGCAGGGGGGGGATGTAAATATAACAGCCTTCCGGAGTTCCTCTGATGCTTTAAAGTCATGTTGTACTTTTCAGATGGACTTTTTCCTACAGTGTTTAGGGAACTTACCAAATTTTCTGTGGCCAAAAACTTTATGAGTCTGCTTTGGAGACAGAGCTGCCAAGTTTGGTAAAAGTTGTACATTTACATATGCTACTTATTCGCTAATGAGCACGTAGTCCTGGAAGGTCACATTTCCAGAGAAACCGAGTAAGTTCAATGATCTTTCTGGCAACAGAATCCAAACGAATGTTTTATTCCTGAGGCTAACCTAGTGGCAACAAAGTGATTCCAGATTGAATTAAATGGAGCGGGATATTTACTGAAGGTGGTTAAAGGAAGCATTGCCAGGTGAGAAATGTGAATCATGGTCTGAGAGGAGACAGGGCCAGAGTCTGAGGACACAGTTAAGGTTAAGGCACAACTGGGAGAAGAAATAGCAAAAACAGAAGACGGAGAACCCAAAGCAGTTGGAATGCAGTTCAAAGAACCTTACAGGCTGTTGCACAGGGGTGGGAGGGAGTGTGAGGGCAGGCATGAGCCTGAAGGACAATAGGGCTTATCTGCTGTCTGTTTTTGTAGGGGCATTAGAGTGTAGCAACGAGCACAGACCCCGGACCCAGACCACCCGGTTTTGAATCCTGCCTGTGTCATTCATTTGCTGTCTGGTGACAGACAAGTTATCTAACCATTCTGTCCAGTTAACTGTTGAGTTAAGCTCAGTTTTCTGAACTGTAAAATGGGAATAATAGTACTCATCACATCAAGTTATTGGGAATATTAAAGGAGCATCCGTGTAAGATACACAGCAAGGGCTCTAACGCATGGAGTCTTATAATTATGACCTAGGTTTCCCTTAATGTCCAAATTTATGTGTGCCGACCATGGCAGAAATTATATGCTGTATGTTCTCACTCAGTCTAGAATGGAAGGCCTAAGGGCTTGGGCCATGGAACACTGAAGTAAAAGTGGATCAACTCTGGACACCTAAATTGGCAGAATTAAGGAGTTTTTAGTTTCAAGTCACAGGGAGCTCAGTGAGACAAAATTAGGGAGAAATCATGGATCTACTTAGTGTGATAACAAGTCCCATGGACTAAAACACAAATGTATTTCTCTATTCTGGAGGCTGGAAATCTGACATCAGGATACCAGCATGGTGGGGTTCTGGTGACAGACCTCTTCCAGGCTGCAGAGTGCCATTTTCTTGCTGTTTCTCCACATGGTGGAAGGGGAGGTGGTCTCTCAGAGGTCTCTTTGCTGTGGGTGCTAATCCCGCTCATGAGTGCTCCATGGGTTCATGACCTCATCACCTCCCAAAGGCCCCACTTCCTAATACCACCATGTTGGAGGTTAGGATTTCAACATATGAACTGGGGTGGGGACAAGGACATTCAACCTACAGCATCCACATGCAGTGAAAGAGGACAAGCAAAGCAGAAATCACAGCAGAAGTTTTTAAACATCGAAAAGAAACCAAAAATAAAAGTATGTGAAATATTGTGACCTCATCAACAAAAAGGAACATGGTGTGCATGAAACAAATATTTGAGGGAAGCGATCTTGTCCCGTGGTGCACAGGGGTTCGTAACGAATGTCCACAGTCCAGAGCTGGTCTTCTGCCTCTTTTTGGAGAGCTCATGGGCGAAGAATGATTTTTACATTTTTTTGGTTAATAAAAAAATCAGAATAAGGATATTTCAGGGCATGTGAAAATTATGTGCAATTAAAATTTCAGTGTCCATAGATAAAGGTTTATTGGAATATAACCGTGCTTCTCCCTTTACTACTCTTATTTGGCCAGTATTAATAATGGTTGTTCTGAGAGTCTCAAATTGTAAGAGATTAAGACTGAATAGCTCCCATTTCCTTTTTAGGTTCAAGTGTCGGACTTTTTATATATGCTGCTCTGCAGAGGTTGCTGATTGAGTTCTATGGGCTGGATGGATGCCTGCTGATTGTGGGTGCCTTAGCTTTAAATATATTAGCCTGCGGCAGCCTGATGAGACCCCTCCAGTCCTCTGATTGCCCTTTGCCTGAAAAAACAGCTCTGGAAAGTGTACCAGATCAATACTCCATTTACAGCGAGAAAGAAAAGGACCTGGAAGAAAACACAAACATTCCTGGAAGGAGCTACGGTGCTGAGGAAACTTGCAAGAGCGCCTTAGCCAGTGGTGGCCAGAAGCAGGAGAGCCTACTTCATAAAAACCCAACAACAGGGGCGCATACAAAAGAGGCCGAGTCGTACAAAAAGAAAGTTGCAGAACAGACATACTTTTGCAAACAGCTTGCCAAGAGGAAGTGGCAATTATATAAAAACTACTGCGGAGAAACTGTGGCTCTTTTTAAAAACAAAGTATTTTCAGCGCTCTTCATTGCTATCTTTCTTTTTGACATCGGAGGATTCCCACCTTCATTGCTTATGGAAGATGTGGCAAGAAGTTCAAATGTGAAAGAAGAAGAGCTTATTATGCCTCTTATTTCCATTATTGGCATTATGACAGCAGTGGGTAAACTCCTCTTGGGGATACTAGCTGACTTCAAGTGGATTAATACCTTATATCTTTACGTAGCTACCTTAATAAGCATGGGCCTGGCCTTGTGTGCAATTCCATTTGCCAAAAGTTATGTCACATTGGCAATACTTTCTGGGATTCTAGGGTTTCTGACTGGTAATTGGTCCATCTTCCCATATGTGACCACAAAGACTGTGGGAATTGAAAAATTAGCCCATGCCTATGGGATATTAATGTTCTTTGCTGGACTCGGAAATAGCCTTGGACCACCAATTGTTGGTAAGATATTTCTTAAAGTCAACCTGTTTCACTGCTCTTCTTTGTAATATCCCTGGATATAGAAATCCAGATTGTAAGAGTAGCACAGATTAGCACAAAATAAACCTGCATAGTTGTCTCATGGTAATGATTTATTCATCATCACTTTGATAAAGTTGAAAAGGTCAGCATACTTGCTCAGGGATTTGCGTTCCTTTTTTTTATTTGGGAGAAACTCAACATACCTGTTTATCCTTGTCCAAAGTTTTCGGGAGGTTCTTCTCTGCTAACTCCTAATAGTCCATTAGAAAGTACATGGGGTACTATGTAACCTGGTCCTTACCGCGTAGCTAAGACTGTAGCTAAGACTGATGAAATTAGTGGAGGAAGAGGCTTCCTCTTCATACGCTTTCTATCCAATTCACTTTTTTCTTACTCTCTTTTCAGGTTGGTTTTATGACTGGACCCAGACCTATGACACTGCATTTTATTTCAGTGGCTTCTGCGTCCTGCTGGGAGGCTGCGTCCTGCTGCTGGCCGCCCTGCCCTCCTGGGACACGTTCAACAAACTGTTGCCCAAGCCGGCTCCAACAACCTTTCTGTACAAAGTTACCTCTAATGTTTAGAGGAATGCTGGAAGGCACTACAGACTTTTCTCATAGCAAGATTTCACTGTGGCTGACTCTGAATGAAAAAAAAAAAATTTTTTTTTTAACAAATCCCGTTCTCTATGTACTGTATATGTAGCTTCTATCTCTTGTATATATTTTTTCCCTTTTTTTCTTTTTGCAAGAAGTGGGACTATTCTGTTTTACTATGACTCATGGATTCTTGATGTTGTAAAAATTTGGGCCTGCCTCGGAAGGCTTTCTCTGCGTAAAGAAATATAGTTTCTCTGTAGGCTACATTAGTTCCCCTGCAAGGAATCCAGAGGGGGCTCTTCTGTTTTAAACCTGATGCAGGCAGCGTGATGAGATCTATGTGAAGGCCATTAGGGACTAAATCACTCTCCTCTCTACGTTACACCGGCTAGGACATGAAAACAGTTACTTCAATGGCATTAAGAATTGTGGTGGAGCAAGCCGATCTTTTTTTTTTTTTCCAAAGATATTTTAAATTATAGTCACTAGTTTTCACTGTTTGATTTTATTTACCTCGAGGCGGCATCCCCTGTTTGGACCCACTGCGCTTAAATCGCTTAAATCGTTTCAATTCCTAAGGTGTTTCCTGAGAGGCAGGCAGTCTCCAAACAGGGACCCTCCCCACAGCCTTGTGTCATGGTTGGCTGCCAGAACCATGCTCACTCTTCTCTGTCAGCATCCACGCGACGAATGTTTCCCAGGAAGTGTTTCCCAGGAAGTGCTCATTTTACCTGTTTGCAAATTGGAAATGCATAAACCATTCCGTTCTGGCAAAGGGGGAACATCCATTTGCTTCGGGCACAGTGGGAATGAACTGCAAATCCTTGCATAACTTCTCAACGAAGCATTTACTTGCCACTATCAGATTTTACCACTATCAAATTTTAATTCAAGGCCAGAACTAAAACGTGTGTGTGTGTGTGTGTGTGTGTGTGTGTGTGTGTGTGTGTGTGTACTCCAAGTCTGTGTGGGATATGGGAAGAGAAAAAGGCAGTAAGAAATTGATACCCTGATCCAACGTTATTCAATCTTATAAAAACTTTTTGGAAGAAAATCAATGTTTAATAAATGGACATTTTTCTAAAGAAATATATTTTTTAAACTTGCTATAAGTTGGAATCCTCTAGATGGTTTAAAAAAATATAGTTACCTGAGAACTACTCTTAGAGATTTTAATTCTGTAGGTCTAGGCTGTGGGCCAAGCATCAATATTTGTAGTGAACTCTTCAAGGAATTCTTACAACACAGCCGGGTCGACAATGGCTGTTATAAGACTGGCAATAGAGAAAGAGTCATTCTCTTAAATAAAACACAAAAAAGCAATAAACCATTGAGGTGAGGGATTTTTAGAAATAGCCAACTGTGGTTCTTTAAATAGGACTCTTCCTATTTGCCAAAATTGTCTTTTCATTTCTTTTGAAATATGTAAGATTTTATACTTCTATGTTGCCTTTCTTGGAAGGCGCCTAAAGCACTTTATAATCATGAAGCCCCACCACACCTCAGAGAGGTAGGTAAATAGTACTTTTCTATGCAGTAAACCTGGAGTGTGGGGGAATTTCATAACTGAGTTAATCCTACTCAATAATGCAATAATGGGGCTCCAAAGTGCCTTTGGACTTCTACTCCATACTCAAACTTCTGGAAAGTTTTCTGTACCTCATTCTTTAGTCACTGTCAAGGTTAGTAAATAAAACAAGTGACATTTTAAAAAGTTAAACTGAACGTTTTAGTGTTGAAAGTTCCTCTTTGCCAACACTGCATTCAGGAAATCCTATAACCTGAAAAAATTTAACTTTCATGACATCCTCGCATTCATCAGTGTTGATAATTGTCCAAATGCATCTTCCCTTTGTCTACTAATGTCATCCAGTGTGTGCATTTTCCATTGTCTAGGGAATGAATTTTATGTTAAAATAAAATATTTTTTTGGCTTGTTTTGCATTGGTTTGGTTGCTTTTTCTCTTCTTGGCCATCCTCCTCCCCCAAATTGCAGTGACATTTCACTGAATGTAGAAAAATTAATTACCACATGTTCACTTCAGACCCCAGAATTGGGTGATTGGGCCTCAACATTTTCAAGTCAATCTGCTAAACTATTTTGACCATTGCCTTCCAGAAAGCTAACATGACAATACTACAGAATCCTTTTGAGGAAAAGGGGATAGATTTCTCTTCGAGATTCTTAATAATGATCTTGGCAATCATTAATGGATTTCTTAATAAGTTCTAGGCACATTATATTATTTATCTTTCATTATAGCCTTGTGAGGTGGGGATTTTATAGTCTTCATCATATGCTACAAAACATAATTATCATGATATGGACAACATGTATAAGTAGCTTCCAAAAGCAAAATGAAGAAAGTTTCCACTAAACCCTCTGATTTCCAACACACTAGGAAATGGGACTTCAGTGGGAGGGTTACTATAAAGCCAATCCTTTAGTGAATAGTAAAGTCATGTTTATGTGAATAATTATTCAAGATTTGCCCATTTCCTAAGAATTAGCATTTTTAATTAATTAATTTATTTATTTTTTAAAAAGAATTTATTTATTCATTTGACAGAGAGAGATCACAAGTAGGCAGAGAGGCAGGCAGAGCGAGAGAGAGGAGGAGGAAGCAGGCTCCCCGCTGAGCAGAGAGCCGGACTCGGGACTCCATCCCAGGATCCTGAGATCATGACCTGAGCCGGAGGCAGAGGCCCAACACACTGAGCCACCCAAGTGCCCCGAATTAGCATTTTTTTAAAAGTTGAAGTATCTGTTTGTGTTAGGGGCTGAACTCATAACCTTGGGATCTTTGGACTGAGCCTGCCAGGCGCCCCAAGAATTAACATTTAAAAACACACTTAATGAAAAAAAGAAGAAGAAAAAAACACAGTGAAATTACATTGATTAGAATATGATCTTTCTTTTGTGACTCAAATGGTATTTTTTAAACTTCCAAGTGCCTGGAGCTGTACTGGGGACGTTGCAGAACTCCTCCTCCTTTCAGCCTCTGCCTCACTGTCTCTGAGAAGCCTCCCGGGAGCCAGTCGCCTATCCAATTTTTTCTAGGGTGACCATGTCATCAAGAGAGAAGTTTCAGCCACCAACTTTTCAAAGCCCCATGAGGAACCGTTCCCAGGAACCAGGCGTTGACGCTTCGGGAGGTCATGACCTTGGGGGCTGTCAGCTGTGTCCTGCTGGCTGGAAAAGTCCACTGACCTCAGAAAGCCTCCACTTCTAGCAATCAATCTGGGATTATCTTAACTTGAAATGTTCTGGGAAATAAAGGAAAGCCCCCCTTTGAAGGAAAGAATGCCTCATTTTTTTCTCTTACTTAGAAGTATTATTTTAAACACATCAAGTACACAGTTTACACGAGCAGGGCCATACAATTTTTCCCTCATTAATAACGATCTTAGGACCTTTTGGTCTGCAGTCAATTGTGGCTGAAGGATGGCAGTTAATAAAATGCCTCTTTGAGTCAAGAGTTTAACTACAATCAGTTAAAATGATCAGAGATGTATGAGTACATGGATAATATTCAGAGATGCAGGACACATATTTGTTAAGGTTATGGTTTCTGGGTTCTAATCCCAGCCCAGGTCCTGCGCTAGGTGATTTGTGAACGTTATCATTTAACCTCTCAAAGCCTCAGTTTCCTTATCTATGGGCCATGTCCTAGGGCTGTTAGGGGAATTGAATAACATTACCCATGTACATTCCTGGCACCTGTTTGGTAAATATTAGCTATTATTATTTTTGTTGCTATCTGTATTCCTTAGTGTGTGGCCTCTCAGTATCTGCTGGAGGTGTCAAATGTTCCTGGGCACAGGTGTGGGGTAAATGCTTGTCTCCTAGGGCCTCATTTGGTAGAAGAATGAGCCTTCTGTTATCCCTAACTGGTAATAGCTCTCACAATATTGCCCTTCCCCACGCATGTTCTTGTCAAAATCTTTTACCCTTAGGGATTCATGACTCAGCACATTTTTTCTGGAATTGCCATTCAGAGGCTCTGACACAAAACAAAACACAAGCTGTTCCTCCACAAATCAAATAGAATTCACTTTGTAAATTGAATTGCTATGGGAATTTGAACTTTTATTTATTTCCTTAAGAACTCATCATCTGAGCTGTTTGGAAGGCCGGCCTGAAATTCGGCAGAAAGCGAAATGCTCGCATTTGTGTATTGAACACTAACTGGCTTCAGCTCAGGGCTCTCACCTCCCTCTGCCTTCCCCCAACCTCTTTCAGATTTACTCTTGGGGGAGGGTAATTCCTTGCCAGGTCTTCTGGGAGTCTATTCCTAGCAGGTTTGTCACATTAGTTCCTTCTTTCTATATGCATTCTTTGTCCTAAAGAGTCATTTACTTTTTTTCTCTCTTTGCAAAAATAAAAAAAATATATATTTATAATATATATTTAGAATTTAATAAATTTTTCTAAGTGATAGTCTACAAACATTGGTAAACAGCACATTTTCTTTCTTTTTTTTTAAAGCAAATTTTTTAAGGCGGGGGAGGGACAGAGGACGTGGGAGAGAGAGAGAGAGAATCTCCATCAGGCTCCACATTCAGCCCAGCATGGAGCCCGGTGTGGGGCTCCTTCTCATGACTCTGACTTACCACCTGAGCCAAAATCTGAGAGTTGGACACTTAATCGACTGAGCCACTCAGGTGCCCCAACAGCATATTTTCTATAACAAATAATTAATTGTGGTCAAGTAGGTCACCTTAAACTTACAAACCCATGGAGACATGCATGTTTTTCCTTCCTGGAAAATGCCTAATGTGATAATACAAGCTGTTATTCCTCCAGCTTACATCTGAAAGACCCTCAATATCTACAGCTTTAATAGGGCATTTCTAAGTGTAGCCCAAAGGACCCTAGGACATCACAACAAAGAAGAACAGATGGAACTGGTTATATTAACCACTAAAAGATGAGGGGCCGGGCTCAACTGTCCAGTTTCATATAGTGTTCATGGTTGCTGGAAGGGTGCCATTTTGAGAACTCCTGGGCAGGATCATGTCTTGAAGGAAGTTCTCTCTGACGGTCAAGTGTGAACAAGGACTGATGGAGAAATCAGTTGAAGTCAAGGAGACTGCCATGCTACACACAGAGACAGAATGAGCTAAGGTTTCT